CATCTGCAAAAAAGTATTATCCTATATTAGCCTCTGTAGTCTCAATCGGAGGGGTTGGCAAGTAGCATACCCCTGGATTTGTGGGTAACAGTGGGTACCCCCCGTATAACATTGGTCACTGTTGGCCCAGTAGGTAGCCAACCCTCGATGTAGGCTTGTAGACCAGTTGGCTCATAGGTTACGTAGGACTACGTAGGCACCAATAGACGGCGATAGGCAAACAGAAAGTCATTAATTTTGATTTATGCTTCCCTATACACTCAGCTCAATGTCTGTACTACAATCAGACACAAGGCTCTTATCACGCAAAATGGTTATATTATGTAGTCTCAGACAAACAGTATTATCTACTGCTCATCATTCAGTGCGGACTGACCCCCGTTGTCGACAGCATCAAATCCTCCCTCCTGTCCAATGTCACTATGCTGACCATCCTCGGGTGCACCACCACCCCGTGCAAGCCAATCCTGTATGGCATGTTCAAGGTCATCATCCATCAATCCGGGACCCAACTCGCTCAGCTCCGTCACAGGAACCCGAGCATTCTCACTATATCCAATCACACAGCAAGTGAGCCATCAAGTAGACACAGACACATGATCATTAAAACGTACCGCGCTCTATTCAAGAGGTCACTTTGAATTGATGGAATTATCTTATACCTCTTCGTCTTGTCATGGAACCGCTCCAACTCGTAAAGGTGCCGGTCATACTTGGCCTGGTATAGCTTAGCGGTAAACTGGATATCCTCTCGCTCACCCGTCCGCCATTCATCTAGGACATTCTCGATCTATGGGAATATGTACTATTAGTATATGCTTGTGAAGTGTGGACAGTTACTTACCGCTGTAAGGACCAGTGCAATGGTCGGGATCGGCATACGCTTTCCGAAGTAACGTTGGTACCGGATACCCTCATCCTTTGGGTTCGCAAACCACGTAGCATTGATCAGACGTTGAATGACTTCGTTCTGGTAGATCCCGGAGCGGTTTTCGTAATCCTGTATGATGGCTCGTTAGCACGTCTGTCTGGCATTCATAGGAGTCCCTTACCGCATATGTATATGCCAGTCGCGTGAGCAGGTCGCGTACCTTGTTCCGGTTCTTCAGCCTTTCATCTTGACCTGATGGCGCTTGCAAGCCGTATACAAGCTCCACGAGACTGCGTGCTTTGGTTTTCAACTCACCGCGCACATGCGATGCCCGAGCCGTTATCTAATGACAATGAGAGACAGCAACAATGGATAAGGACATTCAGGCACTCACCATTGCAACGAATGCATCTTCCATTGGTATATCGACACCGGCGTCACGACAGGCACACAACCATGCTTCGACAGCCCACTGTTCATCTTCATCATTGACTGGATATGCATATTCGGTCGAGACCCGGGTGCGATAGTGACCAATGGCATCAAGCAGGACCCTTCTGATTAAGGACGTGAAATCCTTGACCCGAAAGCGGCCACGGCTTCCGCCACCCTTAGTACGCCGGACCTTCGTAAGGCGGGTGGTCTCGACAGCGGCTAGTTCGGATCGGTCACGGGCACGCACCACGCGACGGGGGCTGGGAGAGGGAGGAGGGCTTGGGATAGCATCCGAAAGCTCGGCATCTGCGAGACCTGGGCTAGGCGGTAGCGACAATACGCTTCTGGACGGGGAGCTGGGTTCCATAGGGCTGTGAGAGCCCCCATGCCGTTCGTCAGAGCCCCAGCCCCCACGCAATTCGCTATGCGGATCCCCACCGGTCGGACTACGCAAGGGGGACTGTCCATCTCCTTCTAGGCTGCGCACGGTGTAGCGCGGACGTGAGGGACTATTGATGTCCACTCCTAGAAATGGTCGGACCGGCGGGATCGAATTCGTACGTCGAACAAGTGTCTTCTGCATAGGAAGTCAGCATTAATATCAGGGTATAATAGTGGAAGTACTTACTTTCACGGAATCCTGCCCAGTGCCCCTATTCTCCTTTTCGTTCCCTGGCGGTGCACATTGCACCAGCCGCGCTGTGCCATCCCTGGAATAGGCAATGGACCGAACAGGGGGCAGCTTCGCAATGACAGAGGGGATAGTGTCCTGCGTACCGTGCTGCTCGTCATCCGAGTCCATCACAATGCGGCGTGCACGCGCGGTTACATTCTTCTGCGCGGGAGGGCGGGGATCCGCAGATCGCTTTGAAAACTAGCGGGTCGAATGTAGTCAGAGACTACTACAGCAGAAGTTAAGGTGCTGGTCACACTTACCGTCCCTACAAACTGGGCTTTAGCTAGCCCTTCTTCAATGTTATCGTCGTCATCTTCAGACTCGACGGCTTGATGATACGGCGTTAAGGTCTACTCGAAGCTATCAGTAACGGAGGAGAAAAAAGGTACTTACGTGTCCGTTCTCTTTTGTGGAAATTGTTCTCTTCCTCCAGTCTTTGACGCCTCCGTAATGCTGCGACATTCGCGCGGTTTTGAGCTTCTTTCGCCCTTGCATGTTCCTCGTTGACTGTGGGCAGTTAAGCACGTGTCCATCGTGACGAAGCGCGACTGGCACATACCTATCTGTTGGTACTTGTCCGTCGCCTTTCGTCGACGTCCTCCTGCCTGCCGAGTATCAAGAAGGTGTAGGACCTTCTCCACCTTCGCGGCCTTGCTCGTCTTCCGGGGCATGATGCGGGCGGGAGTGGTAATGTTTAATAGCTTATTGGATGTATGTGTGAGAGTGGAATGGGAGAAACGTGTCAACTCACAGGCTCCTAAACCACCCGTCCTTAGCATTCGCGCTCCTCTAATTACTAGGGCAGAAGTGAAATATTATGTAAGAAAATGTATTATATGAGAATTACCGGATACAGAACGAACAAGAGGAGGAGAACGCTATAGGACGGCTGGAACAAATCGTCTCCCCGAGATCACCGAGTCTGACTAAGCATGCCAAAAACGGCAGTAGCTGAAATGCTTCAACAGCAGTGGGTGGGCGATTGGGGTCACATAACATAGTCAAATGAGTTCGAAGCAACTTATAAGACATTTAATGAAGCTCTCAGGCTCTTGGGCTGAGTATTCAGTGAGCATAAAGTA